CTACTACTACTACTACTACTACTACTACTACTACTACTACTACTACTTCAGGTTTGCAAAGTGCTTTCCATATATTATCTACCATCTGAGCCTCACAATTGCCCTCTGAGGTAGGTGCTATTTGCAGAGTAGGAAACTGAGGCAAAATTGTGGGATTTTGTGATATTCGGGTCACAGGATCAGAAATTTTGGATTAGAAATGACCATTGTCCAACTCTCTAATTTTATAGAATGGAAAGGCCCAGGTTGTAAAATGACTTGCCCAAGGTCACACAGGTGGGAAACATCAGAAGCTGGGTTTAAACCCAGAGCCACTGATACCAGAGTCTGCACTTGTTTTCACAGTAATTTGATACCAATTATTTGGTGCCACCAGATCTAGGTTCAAGCTTTGCCTCTGCAGATAACTACTTAGGCAAAATCACTTTATCTCTCTGGCCTCAGTTTCCTCATCTGTAAAATGAGAGGGTTGCTTAGATGTCCCTTCTAGCTCTAAAGCGATGCATCTCTGTGTGGGGAGAGGGAGGAGGGTCATCCCTGTGCAGGTGCTCACTTCTGTTTGCCATCAGATACCTGGTCCCCACCTGGCAAGACTCCTCAGTTCTGAGACTGTCCTTTGGTCCTCGGTGACCACTGTGTTGGGTGGTGAGGGTACCCTGATACGGCCACTAGGGCTGAGTCTGTGGGTGGAGTGAGGGTGCCCTGTGGTGAGGAGACTTTGACCATCAAAGGCCACCAGGGTGGCTACTGATGAGTCATATTGTGGGGCTGAGGAGATAAGCAGAGGGCTGCTTAGGAGAAGGAAGAGCCAGTATCCACAGCAGCTATGGCCAGCCTTGTGGGGGAATGCTTAAGTGAGCTCTGGTCACTATCCCCTTATCAGGACTTATCTCTCCTGCCCAATCCTAGCTCAGTCTGGTCTTGGGTGTTCGACTTCAATTATGCCAAAGAGAAGGGACAGCCCAAACTGGTGGCCTGCCCTGTTTTCTCAGAAAAGTATACCCCTGTGGGTGGGTAGCATAGAATGTTGTAATTTTATTTACCTTTTGACTCAAGGAATCACACACATACTCAGGCTGAAAACTGGGAAGTTCCTTAAATGAAACCTGAGTCTCTCAAGGAATAGGTTTATGTCCTCCCCCCTGGGAAGGGATTTGATTCAGGTCAGGCACCTAAGTTGCTGTTCACCTTTCCCCCCTTTCCTCTCCCTGTCTCCCTTTTAGGATTAGAGATTCACAGTTGGATGAGACCTCAAAGTCCTCTTTTTTTTTTTTTTTTCTTAACAAAGGAGGAAGCTGAGACCCTGAGAGAGATCATAGCTTTAGTACTGGAAGAGAACCCAGAGGCCATTCTGTTCAAACCTTCCATTTTACAGATGAGGAAACAGGTCCAGGGATGTTAAGTTACTCATAGAAACGTAGCTCTGTCCTCAGAGACTTCAGAGTCCAAAGATGTCATTTGACCAATGAGCAAAGGGAGACCAAGGCAAATGAAATGACTTGTCCAAGGCAATGTCACACGGCTAATGAAATGGCAGATCCAGAATTTGAACTCAAGTCCTCTGATCCAGCCGTAGCCCTCATTAGACTGTGCTCATTGCTGCCTCTTTGCTTATGTATCTGCTGGTTGAGCTGGCTTTGGATTTTGTGGTGAAGAAAACAGGCTTTTTCATCCTTTTCCTTTCCCAGCATGTCTTCATGTTAGAGCAGTGGAAAGAAACAATTGCTGGGATTGAATTGCCGACTGAGGCATACATTTTCAGGGTTACGCAAATCAAAGAATGTCAGAGTTGGAAGGACCTTCAGTGGCCATCAATCTAACATCTATTTAAAGTGTCAACTCTGTGCTAGGCACTGGAGACATAAATATAAGGAATGAAACAATGCCTAGTCCAACCAGGACCTAAAAACATATCCTCTTGGTGACATACCCAATGAGTACTCACTCAGGCTCTGGGTAATTAGACTGTGTATTTCTAATATGTTTATAGCTGACTTAAAAGTGCTAGAAGCATCCTTTTTCTTTTATAGAAGGGAGAGTGGTATAAAAAGGTCCTTCTCGGTTCTGGAAAGGGACCTACGAGGAAACCCTTGTCCAACTGTAGAAATGATATGATATCATCTTTTCTCTCCCTCCATCCAAATGGTGGTGCCCTGGATACATCAGCAGAGAGCAGGTACAGATAGATTACTTACCTAGGGCTTAGCTGGTTTATTTACACCGACACCCAGCCACAGTGAAAGGGGTCCATGTTCTAGACTGATGGAAACCATGAGGGTGGTATTTGATTCTCCCCATTTTTTTCTTCTCCTTGACTTGCCCAAGGTCACAAAGCTAGCTAGTCTGAGGTCTGCGTCTGGATTTGAACTCGGTCTTCCTGACTCCAGGGCCAGCAATACTGTATCTATCTGTCATGCTGCCTGGGTTTGTACCCTGAAAACCCCTGGGTTTCTGAGTTGCTAGCACTCAGTTGTGCCTTTGAATGAAGAATGGGCAAAAAATAAAAGGGGGGGGTCTTTGTTTCTTTTCATCACAAGAGGTGGGCAGACTTAGTGGATATGAAACCAGGTTACCTCTTGGGTTAGATTGGGAATTACCATGAGAGGATCCAATCTTTTAAAGCAAAAATGGAAGGGAAACTACTGGGGTTTTTTTTTCTATTTTTTCTTCTTTGGTTCCAGGTCCTTTCTGGGTTTTCCCAAGTGGGATCAGAGCAGGGGATGTTTTTGCTTGGAGCAACCCTGGTAGCTTAGAAAGAAGGAAGGTCAGGGGATGGAGTCACCCCCCAGTATTGTGGGGGAACCTGAAAGGAAGCTCACTGTGTTCCTAGGAGGGGACCCAGCAGTCAGGAAAGCAGATTGTGATGGGAGGAGTGAGTTTCTGGGTCTTCCTATTAAAACTCCAGTATTCCCAATGGAGTTTGGAATATGGTGGTATGTTCTGAACTTTCCCTTGGAGCCATTACTGACACCATGAGGATGGATGATGGGTGTCTCCCAGGCCTTTGTTCTAAGCATTAAGATGTGTTCCCTGCCAGAGGGTTAATAGTGGGAAAAGGGTTGGATTGGAGTCAGAGGACCCACCTGCTTCATCACTTGTGTGACTTTGGGCAAATCACTTAACATCCTTGGGCCTCAGTTTCCTTGTCTATAAAATGAGGGGATTGGGCTGTAGGGCCTCAGAGGATGCTTCTAGGTTCTAGCTCTATGGACCTGGGGTTCTCTGGTGTTGCTTTTGGTTTCTGGTGGGAAGAGGCTTTGAGCCTCAGTCTCCGTTTCCAGACTTTCTCTTATGGATGCCATATTCCAACCAGGCTGGCCTCTGAGATGTTTCCAGAGATCAGCATTCCATCTCCAGTGCCTAAGCCTGGAGTGCTGTCCCTCATTGCCTTCTTCCCCTCCCAGGTGGCAGAGCTTCCTTCAAGACCCAACCCATGGGCCACCTCTTGCCTAGGAAGCCTTTCCTTCTTTCTTTGTCCCATTTCCTCTCTCCTTTTGGTTGTTCTTTTCTCCCCAAATCAGCTGCTTTACCTGAGGCAGCTGAGAGGGATGGTGAATAGGGAACTAAACTTGGAGTCAGGAAGGCCAGAATTAGAATCCAGCCTCAGTCACTCACTAGCTCCATGACCCTGGATGAGTCACTTAACCTCCCTCCCCCTCAATTTTCTCATCTGTAAAATGGGGGTAATAGTGACACCTCACAGGGTTTCGGTGACAATCAAGTGAGGTAATATATAAAACATTTTGTAAAATGTAAAGCCCTACATAAATGCTAGCTATATTATTGTCATTTACAATTATAATTATTATTGTCTATATATAATAATATATTCAGTAGGCTATAAGCTCCTTGAAGACAAGGGCCATTTTTCATTTTTGTCTTTGGATTCCCAGACCCAATGCAGAGCATTATACTCAGCAGGTTCTCAGGCTCGTAGATTAGAATCAAATGGGAGGGACCTTAGAGGTCATCTAGCCCAGTGCCCTCCTTTTACAGAGGAGGAAACTGAGGCCCAGAGTGGTTAAGTGTCTTTCTAAGACTATATAGTT